GAATTCATTGAATCAAAGTAAATTTAATTCCTTTATTTTTGAACATTTTATAATTTTGTAGAAGATGGGTGTTGGAGTGAAGTGATTTAAAGAATGATAAATAAATATAATCTAATTAAATAACATTCATTGAAACATACGGAATAATATACAGTGAACTTTCGCTACTACGATATCCAATACAAGAAGAATTCCCTTTATTGCGATTATGCTTCGTAGTCCCGACGAACTTGCATATGAATTAATGACATGCTCCTCTCAATATTACGATATTCTCTGAAGCAATAAACCTCTGTAAAACGATTTTTTTGACCAAAATTCAACCTTATTTTCTCCATTTATTATTGGATTTCAAATAATGTAAAAAATCTTATTTTATCATCTTTTCTGACAAGAGAAGACTCACTGCTGACCACCCCAAGAGCTTCCATTCATAGAATGTAACATTACTATCTGATTTCATTTCTTTCATGTTAAAAGCTGATCATGAGTCACAAATGACCACAAGCATCACATTCAGACCTGAAAGAGAATTTTTTCTGCAGAGGGTGGGTGGAGTACCATTCACAAATGAAAATCATTTTTCTCCTTTGGTTTCAATGCATACTTTGTTGGTTTAACTTGACAGTAAAAAAAATAGTTTTCAGGTATATTTACAATCTTATTTTCTGAATTTATTTGAATTGTTTTTAATATTTAACCATAATTAACACTCTGAAAATGGTTATATATTATGCAATTTTTTGCATAATATATAAATACACATTTATAGTTAATACATATATAACATTAAAATTTAAAAAAATTTTACTCCGATTGTGTACTTTTGAAGAATGAAAAAGTGTTTTGATCAGAGGAAAAAATGAGAATCGTTGCTTATCTTCACCTTCATTAAATCGGATTACCAATTCGGTAATATCGGTATTTTTTATTCATTGTTTCTACGGAGATTCATTTGGGGATTCAGAAAATATTCGTTACATTGAAATTTACACTATATCGGATTTCACTAAATCAGGATTTGAGTGTATTAACGCTACATTTGCATTGAAGATCACCTTTCACTACAAGTTTATTTTCTTAGCAATAATACAATCAACTTCATAACTATTTTAAACATAAATTTGCTTCAATAGTGTTAAGGTTGGTAATATGTGTAGAATCTGATAAATTATAAGCCACTACTAGATGGCATATAATAAAATGCTATTCAGAGCCACTAGATGGTATTCTTATAATGTTAACAGAACATAGAATTCAAAGAAGGCAGATGTATGCCTAATGTGTAATGTAAAGAAATAAAATTTTTGTTATTGTTTTGAAATAAAAGCTCATCTTTGAATTTTAGAATATGTGCACCAGCCTGAAAAATTGATGGTTCAACTTTTCTTTATAGTATAGTTTAAGTTATAGTAAGTTAATTATTGTTAACTTTCGTTAAATTTTCAATAGCATAGCCTCACTGTCATTTAAAAACATAATTTTCCTTTCAAAAACTGTGTAATATAAAAGCATATAAGAGTAGTTTATGGGTTACAAATTAGTTTACAGCAGAACTTTCGATTTTATTTTATCAACTGTGATGAACAACTGATCCATATCTGATTTGTGACAACATAAACGTTCAACTTCAGAGCCATGCAAATTTGAATGAGACTTAGAAGATAAAGGAACTCCTCATTCAAGCATTGGCATATGAACTCGAAACTTTTTGAGAGTTAAACTTTCAGTTTCACTTTAAAAGTGAAACTTTTTGCATTTGCATTACCTGGAGAAAGAAACATTCCATCGAATTGGCAGCTGAAAGTAATATAAGAACTGATCAGTCATTACTATAGGATTTGAATCTGTTGGTAATTTGTGGACAACAAGTGCTTTATTCCTAAAGCTATCTTGGCTCATAGCAATAACTTTTATTTTATATTATAACATTCGTTGAACAACTAACCTGATTTTTTGGGTTTACGACTACTAATGTCCAACTCCGTGGTCTTGTAATTTTGAACCCGATCAAGAAGACAAGGAAACTGCTGGATCAAGTATTGGGAGAAATTTGCCTTCCAGGAGGACTTTTTTGATGGAACGAATCCAAATTTGCGTTAAATAGAGAGGAACCTCCCACGATTAGCCTGATGGCAAGGGGACTCTAACCCATGATGCATCTACCATTGAGGATATTCCAAGTCAGCACTGTGATCGGTGCGAGCCGGATGCGGAATTCGTATCGACCAGCCATCTCTGAGATTCGAACCTGGTTTACTTCATTGGAATGCAAACACTCTGTCCCCTGAGCCAACGCTGCTTTATAGCAATAACTTGTAAATTGCACTAATTTTAAGTATTCATTTTAATGTAATTCTTATCAAAATTATTGATGTAAACCTTTAAGAATAGCTTTGTGAGTTACAGTTAAGTAGAAAAATGTCGATGCACAAATTTAGATTTTAGAGTATTAGAGTCAAACCTTGTCGAACATAGGTTTAATCCTTAGTGCGATATTGATGAGTATGTTTCTGACATCTTCCTCGGCCACTTGTGCCAGGATGGCTGACAGGCCACTCATTGCCTCGAGTGTGATGCGACATCCTGGATCCNTATGCGTTACAAATTAGTTTACAGCAGCACTTTCGATTGTATTTTATCAACTGTGATGAACAGCTGATCCATATCTGATTTGTGACAACATAAACGTTCAACTTCAGAGCCATGTAAATTAATTTGAATGAGACTTAGAAGATAAAAGAACTCCTCATTTAAGCATTGGCATATGAACTTGAAACTTTTTGTTTTGAGAGTTAAACTTTTAGTTTTACTTTAAACGTGAAATTTTTTGCATTTGCATTACCTAGAGAAAGAAACATTCCATCTAATGGGCAGCTGAAAGTAACATAAAAATTGATCAGTCATTACTATAGGATTTGAATCTGTTGGTAATTTGTGGACAACAAGTGCATTATTCCCAAAGCTATCTTGGCTCATAGCAATAACTTTTTATTTTATATTATAACCGTCATCGAACAGCTAACCTAAATTTTTTGGTTTACGACTACTAATGCTCAACTCCGTGGTCTTGTAATTTTGAACCCGATCAAAAAGACAAGGAAACTGCTGGATCAAGTAGTGGGAGAAATTTGCCCTCCAGGAGGACTTTTTTGATGGAACGAACCCACATTTGCGTTAAATAGAGGGGAAGATTTCAAGAACCTCCCACGGTTAGCCTGATGGCAAGGGGACCCTAACCCATGATGTGTCTACCATTGAGGATATTCCAAGCCAGCACTGTGATCGGTGCGAGCCGGATGCGGAATTCGTATCGACCAGAGATTCGACTGAGATTCGAACCTGGTTAACTTAATTGGAATGCAAACACTCTGTCCTCTGAGCCAATGCTGCTTTATAGCAATAACTTGTAAATTGCACAAATTTTAAGTATTCGTTTTAATGTATTTCTTATCAAAATTATTGATGTAAACCTTTAACAATAGCTTCATGATTTATAGTTAAGTAGAAAAATGTCGATGCACAAATTTAGATTTTAGAGTATTAGAGTCAAACCTTGTCGAACATAGGTTTAATCCTTAGTGCGATATTGATGAGTATGTTTCTGACATCTTCCTCGGCCACTTGTGCGAGGATGGCTGACAGGCCACTCATTGCCTCGAGTGTGATGCGACATCCTGGATCCTCCCTTTCATCCATTCCTGTCATCATGGCTGACAAGATGGTGGTCGAGTATCTCTCTATCTACAAATACAGTAATGTGATCATGTATTGAGACCATGTTAATAATGAACTGAGAGCAAAATAAAAATAAATAGAATTTTCGTCCTAATGATTCAATTTGTGGGAATTAAGATATAATCTTAATGCTAACCTAATGATAATCTAAACAAAACATATACTTTTTTTGAGTAAATAGAATTTTTTAGGAACTTGTTTTAATTCTTTAAGTTCACAGAATGAGAAAATAGCTGCAATTAGGAAAATGTGGTCACAATAAGTTAGTCAAAAAACTGGTTAAAAGTATACCTGGATATTAATTACACTGTTTACCTATTATACCATATCTTTGTAAATTATTCAATTTAAGCAAATCAAAATATTTTGAACACTATTATAAAACTCAAAAATTCCAAAGCTTTAAAGAAGTGATAAGATTCCAAAGATCTTAAAGAGTTTTAACTTATTATAAATATAGATACTTTCTTAATAAACAATTTATCAATGGTAGAAAAATAACTGTATTGTTACGTAGAAATTTTTTTAAATCATTTTATACTATATCTTGTTAAATAACAAATCTAAATGTGTCCAAATTTTTTCCAAAATTAAAATTTAAATATTGTACATTTTGTTATTTTAACACTCAGAAACAAGTCTACTCATATAAACATATTTGTCGTTGAAAATGATATAGTTTAAAAAGTGATAATAAAAAATTTTGAAATCAGGATTTGTCTGAAAATTTTTTTTTAACAGCTGTTTTTATTTATAAGCATTTATTTCAGTTTTTTAAATTATTAAAATTGTTTGTAAACATGAAAATTCAATCATGAGATCAACAGTTAATTATTTTATTACACTCTACACTTTTCTACTTAATAACAATGATAAGGCTTGTACAGCAGCTTGTTGTTATAATGCACATGTTGTTCTCTTTTTTGTCTCTTTATTGATTATAATATAAAATAACTATGCCATATGGTAGAGCATGGCATAGAAAGTATTTGAAATCGACATAAAAATTTATAATTACTGAAAATACAATAATTTATATCATATTTTTCTTAAATGGAAGAACTTACCTGTTCCTTATCAAGCATTGAAATATTTCCAAGACCAGAGATGCACAGCCGGCGTACGACGGAAGAGGAATCCACCAGCCTTCCTAGGAGGCTGTTCATGAGGGGTTCAGTTAAGTTCTTGCATCCCTTGTAACACTGGGACAAGAATTCCACAAAGAAAGCAACAGCAACTATGCGGTGTATGTCGACTGAGCTGTTCAGCAGGGGGTTCAAGAAAGTTACGAGTTTTGGAACTTGCTCAGGAAGATTAAGGCAAATGGATCTGTTTAAAAACACAATGAAAAATCATGTAATTTTACTTATAAATATTGTCAAGAAGGACATGAGCTTAAAAGAGTAACATAATTTCAGTTACTTAAATAAGACACATAATAGAGATCTTATAATGACATATAATGAGACATATAATATATATATAATAGAGACATAATAATAGAGACATATATAATAGAGACATATAATGAGAGATCTCACCTGCCGAGTGCAGCAACAGCTTCAGGAAATTTGTCTTCTTCTTCCATCATTCCCCAATAACCACCATCTGTGAGGGAAGCCACAATCATCTCCTGCTTCACACACAACAGGAAGAATTTCAACGTCTCAATGGCGATTCTGAAAACACATATAATACTTTATCTAACATGTTTCTAAAACATGTTTTTTTGGAAATAAAATCTTTATATATACATTACCCTATAATACAAATTACCCAATAATAACAACAATTAAATTATTGTAATTTATTTTTAATATTTCAATTATACTAACATTTAAACAAGGGATGGGCAAACTTTTTTGGTCAAGGCCAAAAATGAGGAAGAAGAAAAAGTTTGGTAGGCCAAATACAAACTTCTAAAATAAAAAAACTAGATTCAAGTTTTAATTTAAATATTTAGAGAGATGAATGAAAATGCGATTTCATTTTTAAAGTTCCTGATATTGAGGTTCGAAGTGAGATGTGCTTATTTTAAGGAACGAGGCTAAACGCTTGCCTGTTAGTCTACTTCTAAAATGATTTTTTCTAAGGTTCAGAGTTGAAAACATTTTTTCACATATATAAGATTAGGCAAATATAGTACGGATTTTCTGGGCATGAGATATTCAATTTGGGAAGCTAGATTTTGGTAATGATTTGTAAAACTCAAACTTTAGAATATTTAGAAACAACTTCTTCAGATGATAGTTAGATTGGAACTCAATTATATTCAAGCTGCAAATCCGACCTCACTATTTCACAATTTACGTTGAAAGGCATGGTAAAAATATATAATTCCGTTTGAATGGCACTGAAATCTTGAATTCTACATTCAAACTCAAAATGGAGTTTTTTAAAGCTATCTTAATAATTCTGCCTCTGCCAGGTAGCTATTTCCATAAATTTATGCTTTATAGAACAAAAATAGATAAAAAGGTCACCAGTACTTTGTTAAAAAAAGAAAGACAAAAATAGCTTTAAACAAAGAAGACAAGAGAATGGATGTATAATGTATATAGTTTATTTTCGCCACAGTTCTGTAAGTTAAAATTCTATCCGCTGGTCGAATGGCCTGAGGCGTCGTAGTTTGCCCATCCCTGATTTAAACAATTCAACTAATTATAAGCATACATTTTAAAAGCATCGTTAAAAATACAAAATAATAACAAATAAAGTAATAGCTGTTCACTATACCCTAGAAGAAAAAATATATAAATGCTTTTTTGGAAAAAAATATATATGTTAAAAGATTTTTTAAAAAAATTACAGAAGTTGTTAACAGCAGAAAATATTCTTCTAGGATGTAACAATTTTCTAAGCAGGAGCACTTTTAATATCACAGGAGTGATTGTGAGCCCAACTCAAAAATCCTGAAAATTTCCTAAGTAAAATCATTAATGACGCATTTCAAAAAATTAATGTATTTATAAACTTAAATCATTGATATTTTCACAATGTGAAATTTTAAATAAATTTATATGCAGCATAATTTAAATTAATAATTAAGTATTTAGTTTACTTTTATCTCTAATCACATTTACTATTCTACCAGAAAAAATGTTTACAAAATGAAAGAGATGCCAATTATAAATTCTAGATCCAATATTTTTAAATAAAATATACAATAATTTTTATCTATAATTGTGATCGAGGATTTCTGTAAACTTCTGGATTTCCAGAAATTTCCGGATTGCAGTTAGTGAAAAATCTGGAAATCCGGATTTTTTCCAGAGCACAATCTTCTTTGCTATCATTATAATAAGAAAATGTAATCATCATTGATTTAAAAAAAAAAAAAGGATTTGTTGGGGAAATAGAATATAATCTTACCTGATTGGAGAAGAGGAAGAAGACATTTTTGTGTCATTCTTTTTCTGTTTCTCAACTGTGTAGGTGGGGAAGACTGCTCCTAAATAAGCTCCAGCAACAAGAACAAGAGAAGCAAATATTTTATCAAAATGTTCTTTGCCACAATTCTCCATTTCAGGTACTTTAAAGATCTCACGGAAGGCACAGACGGCCTAAGACACAAGAATCACAAATCAGCAAACATACATATGATAGTTCATATGAACAATTATGCAATGAGACAAAAGATTGAATTTAGAATTTTATGAATAGAAATCTTTTATTATTATTATTTAAGCATAGTTACTGTAATGTTAAAATTACAGTCAAATCACAATTCATCGTTCCCATAACTTTTGTTTTCCTGTATGTATCGTCTTGTTTCAATGGTCCCAGCAGAAACGCTCTTGTTATTATATTAATATATCTTTTCAGATTGTTTGTGAAGCCAGCAGATTCTTGTGCCTATCATCTGGAAATTCTACGGACATTTAAAAAAAATATTGAAGTTATTTTGTTTTGCAATTAAAAACTGTATCTCCTGGATGATAGTGATGAAGAAGAGAATGAGGATTTATTATAGTTTAGAAAAAAGTTTGATGTTTAAGCATCATTTGGTGAAAATGTTGAAGCTTGTGGTTTTGTCGTTTATTGAAGAAGCGAGGTAAAAAAGCTAAAGAAGTGCAAAGTGATGAATGCGGCAAAACGCAATGCTAAGATTTGCAGTAGGCCTTGAAGCCTTTAAAAGAATGAGAGACTTCTTGTATTCCTTCAAACTTGTAAAAAAGAAACATCAATCTATTACAAATGTTGAAAATTAATAGTTTGCGCTTAGAAGGAGTGTTCAAACCAAAATTTCCAAACATTTTAAATAACTGAATGTGTTTATTTATGTTTCTTTTACATTAAAAAAATAATTTTTTATATCCATTGTCAGTTTACTAATTTTCAAACCAATTACTTGTTCATCATTTTTCTTACACTTTTAAGTCATTTTTTGACAGGGTCCATAGCCAAATCTTTGAATCAAAAATAAGCACTTTTTAAAAACTTTTCAAGCACTTTACAAAAATTTTCAAGCACTCAAAAAATTCATATTCAATCAATGATATTATTAAAAAACAAAAACTTTTTATAAACAATTTTAGCATTAAAAAAAACCCAAAAAGAAACGGGCGTNCACCAAAACATCAGAACAAACTTGAGCCATAAATGGATTCAGCCCAAGGACAGAATTTAAAAACAAAAGCTAATGTCCTAATCCCTTCTTCCACCTCCACCACAATCTTTTCTAAATTGCACAGTCCCATAGCAGTCAAAGGTTTCTACATTCGTTTAGCAACTGTGCGAGAATTTTATGTGTCATTCTAGTTTAACAGAGCTCTAATGGAGCAAATTTTTAAGCAAGCAAAGTATCGCTAAGTTGATGATATTTCAACTGTTTGGCGATACATTTCCGTCTAAAAAAAGTGGGCATAATGGATGAAATAATTTAAATTAGTGAGATTAAAAAAATTATCGAAGGAAAAATTTCCAGCTTTTCTTTAAAATTCCCTGATTTTTCCAGGCTTTTATCTAAATTTCCCTGATTTTTCCAGGTTTTCTCCAGTATAAAAAAATTCCATGATAATTCCAGGTTTTCAAGGTTTTCCAGGAGGGTGGCCACTCTGACTGACGGATTGTACTGATATTTTGTTTAAAAAAACTTCATTTAAGAAAGAAACCTAAAATATACTTTCTACACCCGATTCTGTCCCACAAATTACGGATGCTTCAAAAAATCACATAAAGAAAATTGAAAGGCAATAGAAATGTATGTCTTGTAGCGTTTAGCTTAGTTGAATAGAGAATTCATTTTAAACAAATTAAAGTATGCAACTTTCTTAAAATTTGATTTCTCAATAACTTTTCAACTGATTTTGCTCAAATTTTGTATTTTGCCATGCAAAATTACATACTTCAAAATGATATAAAAAATCGTATACCTTACAATTCAAATTTTTTTTTACTATTATTAAATAAAATAATAAATTTTTATTAAAAGTTATGTTTTGCATGGAGTTATATTTAGATAAACAAATTTTTCTGTGCAAAATTTTTTTAAATTTGTTTTATAAGTTTTTGAGATATGGTGAAATAAGCGAAATATGAAATTAATATTAAAGGGTCTAAAATTTTGCCTGATCTTCTGACCAAACTATTGGGATCATATTTCTAGATTATGGCTGCCTCCCTACATTTTTTGGGGCAGGGGTGAAAGACATCAGATTCCGTCGGAAAAAAGCAATGTTTATACAGAGAATGTATGTTTTATTGTCTGATTTCCTAACTTCAAATATCTTCTGCGCAAATTAATTAGCATATTTGTGGTCCTACACCTTAGAATCGTTAACATTGAGTCATAGAATCTGAAGATCATTAAATCAAAATTTATCCAGTGAGGTCCGCTTTTTATTTTCCCCACGGTAGATTAATATATTAATCAATAGATATATTACAAACAAATCATAATCAATTAATTAAACAAGTGATGATAGTGACTTACAGATAATGGTTTGTGGTTTGCTACGTTAGCAATACTTCTGCCATGTGGATCTGGCGGGGACGACACAACATTATCCGAAAATATATCCAAAAAATATTCAATTACATGATTAGAGATAATTTTTTCTGCACAAAGAGTCTGCCAAATATCTACAGTATTTCTAAAAGAAAATTGCAATGTGATAAGTTATAAATATAAAAATAAATCTTAAAAATTATCAAAATCATGATAAAAACTGAACTTAAATAAAATAACATTCGTTCATTTTCTGAAAAACAAAACTATTGGGTTCCAGAATTGAACCAATAACTTCGAAAAATAATACGCAAAACACAGACACATTTAAGATGTTTTCAAGTTAACTCCATCTGTTGTAAAGAACTTCTGTGCTCAACTGTAACAACCTGTAAAACAACATTTAAAGTTGTGAAATTGAGTCACTCACTATTTTTAAATCTAAAACTTATATAGTCCCTTGAATTAATTTGGTATTTTTTACACTTTCCCTTATGGAGGTGGACTGGAATGTTACTCCCCTCAAATTGGTAGAATGGCAGCTGCATCGCCTTTCTTTTTTATCTATCCACATGAAACTTTTCACTTCTACATTTTTTGTTGATTCTTAGCCTTAACCATCTTAAATATTTAAATACTTTTATTTTACCTTTTTGCTGCTTTTTTAACCGTACCTTCTAATTTTTTCTAACCGTAATTTGTTTACAGCATTTTTCTACTAAAGGGGCTGACGGCGTTTGGCGCAGCGCATTCGATTTTTGTATTTTATTTTTGTCGTTTCTCTACGTTAAACGGAACCTTTTCCTTTCTCCACCTTCCCCCCTAAGGCGACCAGGAAGGCTGGTTTAATTACAGCTTATCTTTTTTTTCATCAAATATTTATAATGGTACTGTACATCTTTTTTTTTAAATCTGCAGTCTACAAAATGGCCTGTTTTTTGTGTGTTGATGATACGGAATCTTCCACCTACTAGTTGATTGATTGAGCAAGGTGTCAAGAATGGTGTCTGATGAGATCCCTAAGAGTGTGTCCTGAAATTCTCATATCCAGATCACTACCTTCATCCATGAGATTGCTGTTGTGCCTAGACATACTTCACCAGAGTGCTTTTTCTGTCTTTTTGTATCTAACTGATGCCCACAAGGACTAAATAAAGATTTGTTGCTATTCTTTTCCAACGACTCGTGGTTAGTGATGCATGCATCTGACTCTTTCTTTTCAACAAAGGACGATTTAGAACCTGGGATATTGTGGAACAACACTTGCAGGTATTCCAATTATGCGTTCATTGCCTAAGTTTACCTTTTAATTAATTCAGCACTATGTGGCAAAAGTTCTTTTGGAAAACTCTTCAATTCACATGTTTTTAAAACCTTGTTCCTTTTGCAAATTTTTCAATTTTGATAGAAGTCTGCAATTTGCAAAAATATGGTGAATTATCAAATTTCGTATCTTCAGAAAAGGAAGGGGAAAAAATGATAAAAGAACAAGGTTCAAATATGTCGAAGTCGTTAAGGAAGGTTCAAGGTCAGAATGAAAGATCAATACTGTAAATATTAATTCTGAAATTTTTATATTAAACTACAGAAGCACACTATGCCGAATAAAATAGTGAACACCCAAAATAACTTTTGATCCAATGATCAGATTTTTATGTACTAAGATTCAATCTTAAAGACTTAAAGGCCAAATCTTAAATATACCAATAAATTAGTGCAGACGGTATTTTAAGATAAAAAATCAGACACAGCATACTTTCTGTGAATAAAGATGGTTCTTTTTTATAGATTTAGATTCTTAATTTTCAAAATAAAAGTGGTAGCTTTGATTTGAGAAATACGATCCCAAATAGTTTGACCGGGAGAGAGGTTCAAGGTTTGAACCCCTTAATGTTAATTTTTCGCAAACGACTTTATCTCTCATACATCTTGACTTTATCTCCCATACATCTTTGGCGAATCAAAAAATATTTACACACACAATTATAAAATTAATTTATCCAAAGATAATTCCACATTAAAAGTAAATTTTATCCATCATTTATTAGTTTTATTGATTATTTGTTGTTCAAACATTTTTTAATTATATGCAAGTTTTTACATCTTCTTAAAATAGGTAATTTTAAGCAACAAAATATAAAGTTTGAACAAACTAGGTTAAATAGTAACTGATTCGTCTAAATTTTAAAAGATGTGTACATAAAAATTTGAACTCTCACAAACTATTAACCAATTTCATTTAAAGTTTTGCACACCTTGCAAGTAAATAATTTTTGACTAAAATGATAAAAATAATAATTAAAAATGTTTTTTTTACATGGAAAGTATCTTTGGATACATGAATTTTTCGACTGGTTCACTTAAATAGTTTTAATAGTTAGGGCTATAAAGAATTACACAAAAAGGGAAATTAATATTAAGAGGTTCAAATTTTTATGCTCTTCTAGATAAACTATTAGGACTATATTTTCCAGATTAGGAATATATTAGATTGGAGCTACCCCTATGTTCTGAGGGTCAAAAATCTAATTTGTCAAAAGAGGTATGTTAGGTCAAGGAAAGAGGGTTTTAGTGTCTGAATTCAAGGTCGGGCCTTTAAGCCAGTAAAATTGAGTTGTAGTACATAAAAATCTGATCATTAGATCAAAAGTTATTTAGGGTGGTCACTTTTTTATTTTACCTATGGTACATTATGGCAGGTGGAGGTAAATTTGAAACATATCAAATGGGTTTGCAACTCATAGAATATTTAAAGGATTTATGAGATAAGTTCTGGAAATAAATGAAACAGAATGTAGCATACACTTAATAATAAATTTCTCATTAAAAAAATTCTAGAACATCGATCTATCATTTCCACTCTGATGCATCTATTGACCTTACAATTTTTCCAAATTGCTATCATTCCTTACAATCTGAAGATTCTATTTAGGTGGGGAATTCAATGAGCGGTCACAAAAATTCAAGTGGAATCCCTTGCAGCTCCTTTGAAATACAAATAATTTAAAAATATATTTTGCTTTTAAATATTAATAGTTTTTATTTTAATTTAAACAATCACAAATGATACTTTCTACGTATCACATTCAATCCCTTCTAGCTCATAAAATAAGTACCAATAATTGTATTTTAAAATTTAATGCTATAAGTGGCCAATTAGAAGATTAATAAATGTCAAAGTGAGACAATGCATTTTTTTTTTAGATTGAATTGAATGAAATCAATTACAAGATGATCAGTCTTATAGTTTTGAAGTTATATGCATTTTATAAACAAAAAGTACAAATATGCATTTGTATCTATTTATGCATCTGATTTTGCTATCTAAAAAGAGACCCTTGTAATTCCAATTATTTAAAAATATATTTTGCTTTTAAATAATAATAATATATATATTTTATTTTAAGTAATCACAAATGATGCTTGTTACACATCACATTGAATCCCATCTAATTTATAAATTTAGTGTAAAAGTTACATTTTCAATTCAATGCTATAATTATCTAATATTTTTTCGTTAGTTAGAAGGTATACAAAAGACAAAAACAATTGAAAATTAAAAAATAATTAGATACTAGAGCTATTTTTTTTGGTGCTTTATGCATTATTTAAAAAAATAAAGATGATTTTCATTAATTTTTTTATTCATGTATTAAAATTTAAATGTTGTTAAAAATAAAACTTTTTTTGTCAATTATTGCTGGTTAAGTAATTTATTAATTGAATGTAATTTGTATAAATACTTTGATAGACATTCCGAAAAATATTTCAACAGAAATACTAAAAGACCAATTACTTGTACCCTATTTTCAAGCTATTTTAATGAATATTTGCCCTCGTTGCACCCCCTGATAAAATTTTTGTAGATGTCCTTTTCAGAGGGACAAATTTGCAAAGATTATTTTTCTATATAAATGGTTCATCCATACAATAGGAAATGCTGCTAAAAGTTTTCTAAATGATTAAACTTGAATACTTATTTAAAAATTCTTTTGAGTTAAAACAAATTTTGCAGAATAAGATATCTTGGATGGTTTCATACTGAATGCATAGCTGCTAACATGAGTAGGAAAAAAATCCAGTAGATTTTATGAAATAATATAAATTTCAAGATAATTGTTGCATGATGTACGAAATATTTTACGCATAGGGAATTTTATAGTCATCAAAATAGAAAAACTTCAATATTTTACAGTTTTGATTGACATTAAACATATTCGAAATGTTATGTATTATGTTTACTAATAATTTCAAATATTAATAAGCATTTAATTCATCAAAGATAGTTAGAAATTTTTTTAAATTAATTTAAAAGAGAATTCTGAATAATAATAAAAACATTTTAAAACAAAAAAGTTTGGAACTGATTTCTACAAATGAGGTTCGCTTCATTATGCATCATTTAAATATTCAAGCAAGCAATAATCTGTACAAAAACTCTATTTAAGTAGGGATTTTTTTAGGAAACTTACTCAATTTTAGGGAATTTTCTAAAATGTACAAAAACCAGGAGAATTTTAATTAAAGCAGTAGACCAGGAGAAACTAGCAAAATGCAGTAGTCTACAGGAAATTCCAATAGAGTTGGCAGCTATGTGTATGGCTATTTCAAGTTGTTATGCCTTTCCTGTATACTGTTTAGCCGGAAATTAGTAGTATATTTTTGACATGGATTTACTTATAATTACGTCACTGTTTTTCATAACAATAAAAAAAAAATCTGTTGACAAATGTTTTGTTTAATGCTTACACATCTAAGGGAACAGGTGAATTGAGTAGAGATACAAGAATTGCGGGCAAGTGATGAGTAGCTAAATTCTGGAAGATTCTCAGAGCCCCTTTTCTAGTGTGAGGACAATGGATATAGCATAATTTGTTTCTGACAGCATCAATGAAATTTGGCACCTGAAACAAAAATAAAATAGAACATAAATTTTGAAAATTTTACTTATTTTGCTTCGTTAACCCACTATGAATTGAACTTATTTTAAGAAGGTGCTATTTGAGATTGAAGGCAGACATTATTTTCAATGCATTTGCACAATTCCATTAATACAGACAAAGCATTTACAGACTTTAAATGCACATAAAATCAGATTAAAAAAAAGTTTGGCTGTTTTAATATTTAATCTTGGTATCACTCACACATACTTCAATTTTTAATAAGTTTCTTTAGTTTGAAAATTAAAAACTAGAAGTTTTAGATGCAATACAATACACCTGTATCACTCCAGTTTTATTTTTATTTTCAAAACATAATGAAAATTGCAGTAAGTGTGAATAACTCCAAGAATTATTTTATGAAAAATATTTCAACAGTTTAATTAATTTTAAAACTGAATTTTACGTCCTAAATCTAAAAATTCATTATCGTGAAATTGCTCATTAATAGTATTTTGTTTCATAACCCTAGTTGAACAGCCAACCCAATTTTGGGTTTACGACAACTAATGTTCAACTCTGTAGCCTTGTAATTTTGAACCCAATCCAGAAAACAACTCCTGGATCAAGTATTGGGAGAAATTTGAATTCGTGGAAGACTTTTTGATGGAAGTAACCCTCTTTTGCATTTCATGGAGAGGAAGTCCACAAGAACCTCCCAAGGTTAGCCTGACAGGGGACTCTAACCCATGATCCGTTTACCACTGAGGATATTTTACGTCAGCACTGTGGTCGGTGCGAGCCGGGTGAGGAATTCGTGTCGACCAGACATTGCTGGGATTTGAACCCGGGTTAACCACATTGGAAGGCAAACGTTCTATCCCCTGAGCCACTACCACTCTCATTAATAGTATTTAAATTTTTTTGGTTACTACATCATAGAGTCTTGAGAGAAAGGTGTTGAGAACTATTTTTGGAGGAATTCAAAAAAAAAAAAAAAAAAATGGTGAGTGGCTTAGAAGATCAAATCTAGAGCTCTCATATAATGAACCTGACATTATTAACTTTATTAAACGGCAAAGAATAAAATGGACAGGCCACGTTATCAGAATGGACGGAGCTCTTCCACAAAAAGAGCTTTCAATGCCAGACCAGTTGGCACATAAAAAAGAGGCAGGCCAAATTTGAGATGGATAGATGGCCTAGAGAAAGATCTTTTGGTCTTAAAAACAGAAAATTGGAGAACACTAGCAAAAAAAAGGTTAGCCTGGAAAAAACTTCTTGAGAAGGCTAAGGCCCATCCTGAACTGTCGAGCTATTGATGATGATGATGACATCATAGAGTCAAACATTTTTCTTAGATAAGTAGGGAAAATATTAACTTATACATTTAAATAATAACTAATTCTATAGCTGTTATGGCACACTGGTAAAGTCACTAAATTATCATTGTGAAGTACTGTAGTTTCATTCCAAGAGGCAACGAGAAGCCTACCAAGCTTCAGATCAATTGGTCAAGGACTTGCAACAGAAGTAAAGGGTCATAAAGGGCTCAAGCATCAAAGGCTTGCAACAGAAGTAAAGGGTTATAAATGGCTCATGCATCAAAGGCTTGCAACAGAAGTTAGTGAGTTAAGAATATAGTTTAATACATTATTAATGTACAAAACTGCATTCTACGAATGTTAATTCAGTACTGCAGAATTAAAGATATTAGCTTCATTACTAATTCACTAAAATGAAATGAATTTGTTCGCAAAATATATTTGCCATTAAATCTATTTTATTTAAAGATTTTATGGCATGCAAAACTTAAGCAATAGTAAAATGTTTTTTAAACTGTAATTTCGTCATTTTCAGAAAGCCAATTGGAATGTTTTCATAACAAACGCTTCATTTATAATAAACTGCAAATTGCATAATAAAAAATTTACTTCAAATAGATACTTCTTTGGACAGGTCACAATTTTGGAATCTTAAATCATATTGTCGATTTCAAAACTTTCGAACAAAATGTTAAAGACAACAGCTCTTTTTAATTAAACATGAATTGTTAACTGTTTCCCTTACCAATTTTTTTGAAGAAAAAAAAAAGAAAAAAATCAACATATTTTTTTATTTCATTAATAAATACAAGGAACTAAAACAAACACAAGTTCTAAGTTGAAATTCTAATTTTTTTTTACGCGTGAAAAATATTTAATTTACTGTCAGTTTACCATCCCAAATTATTTTGAGCAAATGAAAAAAGTTAAATATTAGTCTTTGCATATGTTTACATTTTCATCATCTGCATTACTTTTACTTCCGCTCCCGAACGCCATTTTGTAACTTTTTTTCTATGTAAATTCATCAACCATCGTATATATACAATTGTACAAAACACGTCTGCAGTCCCACAAACAACAAACCTTCCAAACAATGATTGGCAAACTTCCAATCACAGCAGATTATTATTACTTTTTGTTTTGCTTGGGGCCGAATAAAAACGAGATAAAACAAAACGTATTGACGAATTCTGCTATGCCCGAGTTAACTCTGGATAATAAATATGTGCAATATATACATACCCGATTAACTCTGGAATAATTAGGGAAGCGGTTAAGGAGAAATATGTGCAAGAAGAAAGCTTTACCTCTATTTTGATTTCCCTGCTCTTGCTCTTTATGACAGTGTTGAGAACAACGGAAGCGCCGGATGAACTCTGTGAATGGGGATCGCAAAGGCCATCCACAAGAGATCTTAAGAATGGATAGAGCTGGTCCAGTGGAAGTTTCTCAGCAACAAACTGAAATATAAAATAGAGATCAATAAATGAAATACTTTTTCTAAGCAATGAGGTACTCATACATGAAAAAAGGTCATAAGATACATACTATCACAGAACTTATATTAGTATAATAGGTACCTATTACAACAGCACCTATAACCATAATTAGGTAATCATAGCATCAGTAATAGTGAGGTAATTTTTATGGCTTCTTATAAAAGATAAATACTAGAAATGATATTCTATTTTGATAACAAATTTAGTATAAACAAAGTTTTTTTTTTAAAAAAAAAGAGCATAACTACCAGAAAGGTTGTCATTATATTTTATCTTGTTTTATAACTGTCGTTGAACAGCCAAACCAATTTTTGGGTATACGACTACTAATGCGTAGCCTTGTAATTTTGAACCCAATCCAGAAGAAGGGGAACTCCTGGATCAAGTATTGGGAGAAATTTACCTTTGTAGAGGACATTTTGATGGAACTAACCCACATTTACATTATATGGAGAGGAAAAAAATTTTGAATATGAATATGGATAAAATAATTCTTTTTCTTCATATTATTATTATAATTTATATTTTGAATTTCAGTACAAATATAATTACAATAATCGAATATATTTTTTAATAACTATTTGATTGTTTTTAATAATTAAAAAAACCAAAATATATTTTTACTTGTAATTGCAGCATTAGAAAAAATATACTGAAGAAACACTGGTACCAGTCTGCATCAAAGGGATAATGAACCCTTTGCACAAATTTACTTAGTTTTCCAAATTTTTTAACTATGTAAGAAATATGAGAAAGCATTTTAATAATACACAGAGCATTTTATTTAAATGGGTTATAAGAAAATGACTCATTCTTACCTTTCCTAAACTTTTAGTTACGATAAACATCGATGATGGATCATCACTTATTATTTGAGATTTTAAAAAATTTAATGTAGTTTCTGGTGACTCATTGAACGAAACTGTTGATACTGAAAAAATAAATGTAATGAATTCCCTGTATCAAATATTAAAACTCATTACAGAATAAGGCTTTACTCTTAAACATACACAAGGGTGAATTTGTTTATGATATATAAAAAGTTTTAACTAACTTTTAAAAACATTTTTATGTTATAGTTACATAGAAAAAAGTCAGAGTAATAACTAAACATTGAAATTTGATGACTTTAGAACTTCATTCATGAATTAAAAATAGTAAAAAATGGACTTCGAATTGAAAAAAATAACCTATTATTTAAACTCTATTATAAACAAAACAATATTATCAGATAGAGTTCCGACTAAAGAGCTATAATTCATTAAGAACTGTTTATTTTTGTCTTCATGCAAAATAAATCAGTAGTCATTTTGAAGAAAACAACTAATATAAAAAACTAGCTTTTGATTATGTAGTTCACTGTGATGTAAAATTCAATCAGGGTGGCCACAAACACTAAAAAAATTAATTAACTATAATAATTACTTGATTTTTTTTGGATTTTAATTAGGATTTTCCTGATTTTTGTAACTGCTGGCATAAATTTAATTATTAAGTGTTTAGTCATGCTCAGAATCATAGCTAGGTCTTACAAAGCCTAAAAACATACTCAGTTTTTGTGCCCCTTTGCATTATTGTGCAAGCCCTAAAGAAGCCTTTTCTGACCACTTTAAAATGATTATGTAAATACCGACAAACTTGGCATTAGAATGTTAAACTTAGCATGGAATAAGATTTTTAACCTTAAATAAAAAAGTTTTTAAAACAATGTTCACTCAATAACTTAATTATCGATTTAATTTAAAATTTAATGCTGTAAGTTACTAATATTGTTCCTATTCCATTTCAATGATTTTATCGCACTTATGTGTTTTATTAAATAAAAGGCATTTATTCTAAGGGTATTTTTAATTCCAAATTCAATATATTGCCAATTTGTTATTAATCATTTTTTGTAACCCATTCACGGTTCAGCACATAAAAACTCATATTTTAAACTGCAATCTTCCACGCATTGCAAAACCGTTTTTCTTATGTTATTAGATATGGAAATAGTGCATTAGGGAAAAACATTCTCACAATTTTTTCCAAATGCAAAACCACCAGAGAAATGAGTTAAAGTTATAGTTACTAGAAAGTTTCATGGCCAAAGCAACTGCAACATCAATCGAGTCGAACGCTAAATGTCGAACTGTGATTTGTGGGTCTGTACACCTTGGCACCAACATTCCGAGAATATTTCCAAGGGTATTGAATGGGGTGTAAGCCTACAAAGAATAATAGAAATGTTTTAGCTAAACCTGAACTTGATCATTACAATATGTAAAACTTATAAAACTGCATACATCACTAAATAATTTTTTTTGATTGAGTTCTATATTTTTACAGAGATAGAAATTTTTTTTAAAAAAAATTGTCGCTTGTCTAAAGGTCCAGTAACTAAGAAATAATACTTTACGCTCATTTTCACTGGCCCACTTATATGTTTTAATTAGATTTTATTTATTTTTTTAAAGTGCCGAAATGTTACGAAAATTACATAATGTTACAAATTACAAACTTGAATGACAAATTACAAAAAAAAATGTTTAGTGTTCACATTCATGAAGAAATATACAGTGTGAGGCAAAAAAACAAAACGAAAAATCAAAACTGCCGATCAACATTTCACATCGATTGCTGGTCCAAGGTATAATTTGTGGGGATAGTATTTATCAACTGTGTCAACCTTCATATTAAGTTAACATGTCTTATATACTAGTGAATTGGAATTACATTTNCAAAAGAAGGACAGCTTGGAAAAAACTACTGGAGAAGGCCAAGGCCCATCCTGGGCTGTCGAGCCAGTGAGGAAGGAAGGAAGTAGTGGCAGATACACACTACAGTACTTCCCCACCAAAATTATATCTATGATGCAATCCGATGAACGTATACCCCTAGTCGATCCATGGACGTTTTGTGAGAAGACGGGAGAGCTGTATTAAGGTCACCGTACTTTATTTAGTGCTGATTGTGAGAGCTGTATTAAGTTCACAGTCGTAGTCTCCCCTATGTTGCCATTAGTAGTCAAGTGAATCTGTTGTGTGTGATCGAAACTGGGTAGCAACAGGAGCAGGTGTGGATAATGTCACAGTCACAAGTAGCAAGTTGAATGTGGACCAACTGTTGAATGTGGACCATCTATAACAGCAGACTTGTTCAAATCATAGTGGACGTTTCTGCTAAGGTAGGTGTGTTCACATTACATTCGGGTCACCAATGTGGGGATGGTAGATATCAACAATGTCAACCTTCATCTATGAAAAGGTACCCCCTCATAGGGGGGTCGAGTTAACATATCCTGTATACTAGGGAATTGAAATTACATTTCTGTAGTGGTAGATACACCACAATAATTAAATTAATACTATATATATATACATTAAATTTATATAATATATACATTAAATTTATATAATATTAACATTAAATTTATACAATATATATTGCATTAATTAATAAAATTAAATTCCGAACTAATTTAATATTGAAAGAAAAGTTTGTTATTCATGTGTTTAAATTCAAATGTTCAGAAAAATGAATTTCAATTTGGGTACTTTAAGTTCCTTAAAATTGTGTGTTAAAAGTAACAGTGAAAATCAACTTTGAGTGTGAAACAATGAAAATAACTTAAAAATAACAAATATATTTGCTCTAAACTAATTAATGTTCTTATTCAATGCTCACTAAAAGGCCTGAGAAAAGCATTTCAAGCCTTAATTGTAATTCATAGGCATATTTCATTTGTACTTTAAACTAATTTGACTTTCTCTGTTTCGATCTATAAATTGTTCTTATTCAATAATATTTAAACGGAAATTACGTCGCCACTGCTTGCTTCTGCATAACATCTGAGAAGGTGCAAAGTTGAGTGCAGGCAGCGTTCTCTTTCCACAGCATTTTTTGACATCATCCAAGGGTGAAGATTCTATGGGGGGAAAATATAGTTATTGCAAAATGTAAAAATATATACTTTACAAGTTTAGAGGTAAAGTAATTTTTTAAAGTGTGCCCTTCAGTAAATGGATTAGTTATTAACAGATCTATTATATTTGTTATATTTAAACCGTTCAGATAAAAAACCTAATTCTAGGTATTTATTAGTTATAGGGACCATGAAGCCAAATTCTACAACACATAGGAACAATCTCAATATCTGGTTTGTACAAGTGTATCAAATATAACAATGCCATCATTAATGATAAGAACACGCAATCAATATTATAATACCATGATCATTATTAGTAGCTATAACTATGGAATACGACGACATTATGGTTATTATTGATAACATAATCAAAAATATAACGTTGTGAATATTACATACATCAATAATTATTAAATTATTGTGAGAGCAAATAAATTTTATTTGGATAACAAACATAATGACCAATGAAAAAAATAATACAAACTAGTTCAAGTTGAAAAAATATTACTGTAAACCGGGGCGAGTCTACCCATTTTTTCAGTTTGTCAACTTTCAAGTGGTCAAACTTTTGTAAATATTAAAGAAAAAAGGCTTTTAATAGGTGCTTCGGAATCGCTATTTATCCCTCTTTAAAGCTGTGAAATCGATTTTAGAAAATATTAACAGTTACGCTGTTACTGTATATTTTTATAGAACTGCTGACAAATCTCTCGTATGGGGCGAGTCTACCCATTCTACTAAAATGAATGTTAACATTGTAAATAATCAAATTTTACTATTAAATTGTTATTTTAGTTACTATATAGGATATTTATGAAGTAAAATTCATAACTTTATTATATATTCCATTTTTTTATTCATAAAATAACACAAATTGAGTATTTGATCGATTATCACATTTTGATCACAGTTTTGTTTTTATAATCATTAACATTATAAAATAACATTTTTTTCTGATTATTGTTGATAAAAATAAATTAAAATTAATATAAATTTACAATTAAATAATTAATAAATAATAATAATTAAAGATTATTAACAAAATCGAAATTCAAACATTGGGAATCATGAAAAATCCTTTTCCCATTCTTTTGGGAGGTAATAATAATTTATAAATAATAATTTATTTAACTTGCATTAAATAAAAAAAGTTAATTTTGTAATATAAAAATTGAAAAAATAGGTAAAATAAACATATTTTATATTTACATTTATATTTAACCTATAAATTTTCTTATTAATGATAAATTTATCAATGCAGAATTAAAATAATATACTCAAATTCATTTAAAATGACTTAATTTTAATATAAACAAAGTTCTAAATTATATTATTATGCTTTATTAAAACTAAATACGAATGGGTAGACTCGCCCCGCGAATTCTGGCTTTTTGTTTACAACAGCAAAACTTACATTCTTTTTGTTTTTTTTCATATAAAATTAATGTAATCTTAGTCTTAGATAAGTTTATCACTTAACCAAAGTGAAAATAGTAATAATAATAATATACTTACGGAGCACCAACTAAAAGTTTGCTGATTTTCAATACAAATCTCTCAAAAGACGTTTGAACAGGTCGGTTAAAAAGACACCAAATAAATAAAAACGGATCAAACTACTACAGTGCCATCTTCTGTAGAGTCTAAACTAAGTCCTCCGTCGGTAAAATTTCTTTTATTTGCAATTCAAAATAGTGAAAATTAAATAAAACTAAAATGGGTTGATTTGCCCCTGGATGGGTAGACTCACCCCGGTTTATGGTATGTCAATATATTATAATTATATATATTACGTCAATATATTGGAATATTAAAAAATACACTTATTCGTTTCAGAGACCAATATTTGTGGCAGTGACAGCTTGGAAAAGCAGTACTTGAAAAATATCACGCTATTCTATCAAAATATCATACTAAACTTAAATATCAATACATTTTTGTGAATACATTGCGATATTAAAATTCATATTTTTCAGTTTTTTAATATTCGTGTCGACGAGAACTGGGAAAATGAGTCACCAACATATTGTCACTATAACCTAGGGGTGCACAACCTTTAAAAATGAAGGGCCACTTGCACAGCAGTGGGTAGATTAACGAAGGGCCACACTAGTCATGTTAGAAGCAAATATGATAATTTAAATTTTAGTGTTCTAAACACTAAGTTTCTTTATCAGTAAACCTAATAACAAATTAGCAGAAAATTAAGTATTTTTAATTGTTTGAATTTATTTAAAAATAAAAAAATATATATAATTAATGTAATAAATAATATAATAGTATAATAATAAATTATATCTCTCCCTCTTTATATATATATATATATATAACTTTAGAACTAACTGAGTGAAAGTGCAAAAGAAAATATACATGTTTTCTAGAGTAATATAAATTTAAATTGAATATTTTTATTGAAAGAAATTTATAATGTTTAAACAATAACTAAAAATTGAAAAAAATATTAAAAAATGAAATGCAATATTTTTTTAAAAACAATTTATTGCGTTTAAAAGCTCCCTCGGGCCGCAAGTCAACAGTTGACGGGCCGCATGAGGCCTGTGGTCCGCAGGTTGAGCACCCCTACTATAACCAATAAATACCTTATTCTGAAATAATAATCTTTACTTGTATGATAGAAACTAAGTTTGTGTAGCTCCTTTCTTTTAGTAACAGTTTTTGAAGAAAAAAGTTGAGTGCATCCACAGTGGATATGAGCAGCAGATCAAAATCTAGAGTGGGGTCAAGTCCTTCTTCTTTCGGTTTCTCAAGAAGATAATCTCGGGGCAGGGAATAAACGGTGGTCACCGCCACTTGAATGATACTACGCTTCTCTTCTTCACTCAGAGTCGGATCTAAAGCACTACAGATGACCATCAAGGATTTAACAACAAGAGAAATAAGTGTCATATTTTTGTTACAAGGTATCTGCCAAATTTTAGATTTTCAAATCCATGGCTTTTCATGACTAATTCCAAGAATTTTTCATGACTTACCGAAGTTACTATTTTCTCCGACAGAAACACAGCAATAAATTTAAAAAAGCATTATAATAACATTCATTGAAATGATAGGTATAACCAAAACAGTTACACTCTGCATCTTGATATTTATAGATTTTAAATTTCAAAAACAGAGTAAAGAAAGAGTTGAAGCAATAAAATAGCTGAAAGAAATACAAAAGCAAATAATTTTTTGTCTTTTCTTCTGCAGAATTGTATTCTAAAGATACTTTTCTTGTTCATCGGAAAGGAAAGAAATACTCCTGATTTTTCTGTTCTCATTTTAGAATGAAAAAATAAATAATAATAAAAATTCTGAAATCACAGAAATTTAAAAGATAAATCACTCTAGAAATGATGTTTTTTCTTCAATTTTTTTAAACAACACCATCATTTTAACATGATAATAACATTTTATATTTTAATAAATTATGACTATGAGTGGGAATTTTGTTACAAATCCAAATATTCAAAACACCATGAAATTGGGGAGCGGCTAAATTCCATATAATAAATTTGATTATTCGGCGACCTAAATCCACGACTTTCCATGATTTTTTTTTTTTAAATATTTAAAATCGCGACATTTCATGAAAAATTTTGTTCAATAACTAAATTCATGACTTTCCAGTTGCACAGACACACTGTAGTTATCAAGACACAAAATTAAAATATCGCGTATCAATCGCGTATCAAAATTAAAATATCGCAAATCATAATTCTTTACGCGGAACCCATTTTTTAAAAAATTTTAGCATTTTGACATTTCTTTTATACAGCTGCCAGAATAAAAAGGAAATAATCTGTAAATATTTTTTTATAAATTTTATGCTAACTACTAAACAGCACTGTAATTATCTTTTTTTCCCCCACTCACATTAGGGTCTCTCGAGCACTAAAATTACAATTAAGGATTTAACAGGATTAATCATAATCAATCAGTTCAATTGTTTAGAAATAGAAATAAAATGTTTTTTTTTAATATAATTTTTGAGTTCCAACTTTAGTTCAGTCCATTCTACTTTAGACTTACTTCTAGCTTCAAGGTGGAGGAAAAATTTTTTATGTAATTTGTTAACTATAAAGATACTTGTAACAATATCTAAATACTAAGTTCAGAATAATGAATTAAGAAAGAGATTTTTATGAAAAAATAACTANAAAATTTTTTATGTAATTTGTTAACTATAAAGATACTTGTAACAATATCTAAATTCTAACTTCAGAATAATGAATTAAGAAAGAGATTTTCACATAGAAATAACAAAAAAATGTAATGTTATTTGTTAATTAAAATGATACTTGTAACAATAACTAAACACTAAGTTCAGAATAATGAATTAAGATAGCAATAACTAAATATTAAGCATGTCAGAACACAAACGTCTTTATTATTGACGATAGATGAACTGAACTTCAATTCACTAACTGGGAGTTTGCTTACAAGGTATTACCTAAAAACAATAAGAAGTAATGATGTTCCGGATGTCACACGACACTTGTCAAGGGTTTTATACACATACAAGGACACACATTATATTTTAAATTATAAAATGGAACCATGGAAAGGATACACAAGACTGGCAGATGCTTTCAAAGCTAAGGAACGAATATTACTAGTCAGAGAGAGAGTAGCTTCCGACTTAAGTATTGCCTTTACAAGATTCAGAAGTTCAGATCTTGATCGAAATTCAAAAGATTCTTGAAGATGATCGGGATGAATTGCATCAGCAATCAACTTGATTGTTTCTAACATGCTTTGCTTCACCAAATGATCCTGAAAATAAATGTAATTTATTAAAAAAAGAACAAATTATTGAAATTGAGCAACCCATAATAGACTCCCATAATTGAGTTTTCTGTAATTGAGAATCCCGTAATGACTTTCCAGGTGTGCAGATATCATGAATGTACTAATATTTATATGAGTTTGAACAAAAAGTTTTCAGAAAAGTTGAAAGAAAAAATATTTTCTTAAAACAGTAACAACATATTTAAAAAATGCAACATTTTTCAAATCTTTTAAAAAGTATACAAGAATTTATGAAAAAAGGTAATAAAAAAAAACATATGACTAAGTTAAATTACTTTAGAGGATTGGTAGAAACTAGCCACACTTCTTAGAATCGGTGTTTCTATTCTGGTAAGCAGTATTGGAATGGGACCATTTGTAGTTACATAACCGTAGCAAAGTATAATAGTTGCCTTTAGCTTATCATGATCTGTATCACCGGTAAATTCCTAAAACAATAAAATAGGTACTTTAGCAGAGTATGAAAAATATAAATTTCAAAATTATGACAATATTTAAAAATAAACATATTTTACCTTGATAAAACCTAAAAATCCAGCATTTTTCTTGTCATCTTTAGCGACTTTTTCAAGTTTCACAAGAACAGCATCCAAATGTGTGGATCCGCAATAGCCGACACACATAGCACAACCCTAAGTAAAAGTTTCATTGATTTAAGTTACATTAATGTGAATAAAGAAACTCAATATCTATAACAGGAAAAACAAACTTGTTAAGTGAATACTAAGTTTCATGAGTTGTAAACATTGTGTTGGATCATAAACACTTTCGTCATAGATAGTAAGAAATTAACTCAGAACATGCAAATTGTGTTGAATTAAAAACATAATTTATATCTTAAAATGTGAACAAGAAAGTTTTATGAATCTACCTAAATAAATAAAGTGAGTGCAAAAATATTAGTTTGTACGTCAAAGTGTAGAAATCAGATGTTGAATTAATAACATAATTCAGAGGTGATTCTGAGCCCAACTCAAAAAATTTCTTGAGTAAAATCATTAATGACGCATTTCAAAAAATTAATGTCTATATAAATTTAAATCATTGATATTTTCAAAACATGAAATTCTAAATAAATTATATGCAGCATAATTTAAATGAATAATTATGTATAAGTTTGATTTTATCTCAAATTACATTTATTATTCTATCAGAAAAAGTATTTACAAATGAAAGAGATGCCAAGTATAAATTCTAGTTCTAATAATTTTAAATAAAATATACAAGAATTTTTATTTATGAATGTGATCGATGATTTCTTGTAACATCTGGACGATGGATTTCTAGAAACTTCCGGATCAAGGCGAGCGAAAAATACGGAAGTCAGGATTTTTCTGGAGCACAATAATCTCTGCATAATTTATGTCTTAAAATGTGAAGAGGAAAGTTTTATAAGTTCCAAATAATTGTTGGCAAATTTCTGTGTTGAAAGCATGCTAATAGAAATTCATTCAGAACATGTTAAATAATTAACATAATTTTTGTCCTAATGCAAAAAGAATCTTTATCTCTCAGAAGCACGTTTCATTTCATTTAAATGTTAAGAGGTGAATTATATAGGATAAAAGAAAAATCTTCCCCTAATAAATTAAGTGTGAGCAAAAATATTAGTTTGTAAGTCAAAGTGCAGAAATCACACTGCGTAAGGATAGAAATCAGATTAAGAAGGGTGATCCAAAAGAATGGCTAAAAATGGTTTAACTGGTTACCATTTATAGTTACCTTAAATTACCTAGGTAATTTGTACAGGATAGCCTGATTGGTAGGACACTAGACTGACGTTTGTGAGAACGAGAGTTCGAATCCAGCCAGTCAAAGTCCTTGTGTAGTAAATGGTGACAGGTGCAAGTTAAATCTGTTGGGTCACCAAGTCCACTATGTTCCCCTAACAAATTATAACTCTGGAGGTACTGAATTGGAGATTGATCTTTCTCTGGTTCAGGTCAAAATTCCAATTTGTGGATGAATGAAAGATTGTGTGAATGGGTCCTCCTTATAAACGGATGTGGCAGAAGTCGAAATCTTGGCCACAGATAGCCTCCCCCCCCCACCCAATGCATTAATGGCCGACGACGACAACAACAATCTTCAAACTACTTAGGTAATCTTGTTTTTATCTGCTAAGCACTTGTTAAAGTGAAAATAACATCTATGTTGGAATAACAGCAATGTTTCTGTATGCTCAAACTAACATTATTTATTTATTTTCTCTATCCAAAGCTTACAATCAAATAATCTACACATTGGTTCATAGAATTAATCCTCAATAATTTTTATAACTGTAATATAAAGAATCAAACAGATTAAAATATTAGCAAAATTACCATGTTATTACAATTAATGTTATTACAATTAGCAAAATTAGAATAATGTTAATTATTTTTTTTTTCAATATCTAAAGAATCAAGAAAATAAATACAATCAAACGATCAACAAATTTATTTTTAGATTGAGAGGAACTAACTTTTGAATTTTAACGATGGAAAACCGTTAATATGCACATTACCCTGGTCAATTGCAAAAAATTCTTGATTCTGCATTTTAATGAATTATTTACAGATTAGCCAGACAATGTATGCAGTAATAGCTTTCGAGCTTTAGACTAATATAAATATATATACAGTGGAAACCGTTTAAGAAGTTTTCCTGCCTAAGAAGTAATTTTTTAAAAAAAACAAATACCATAATGTTAAATTTACCTTTATAATAATAAGTTTTTTTCCCGTTTAAGAAGTTTCCAATCCCTTCCAGTTTTCGATTTTTTTTAAAACTTTATATTTGAAATGACTTATCAAGTTTTAACTTTCTGTCACAAAAACAGGTACTTGAAGGATGCAAAATTAACAAAGACCACTGACCATTACCCTCATCCATTACAAAAAAAGGGAACTTATAGGGAACAGGCGTGAGCAAAAAAATTTGACCCTTATAGCTGAACAATGAAACTGATAAGAATGTAAGGAATAGCTTGAACATTGTGTTCACCTTAAATGAAAATCAAGAAGCCTGATGACTCATGCAATGCTCTATTCTCCCCCCTACCCATTCAATGACTGAAGCAAAAGACATTTAACAGCATTTCTTTGGAAATTTTCTTAGTGTGGTGGTTAATTTTGATTTTCATCTTAAATATTGTAGGAAAAAAATTGATTTTTGATGAAAATGTCCTGTAAAGAAAGTTTGATGAAATGTACTGTCCTGTAAATGTAAAGCACTATATATTGAGGATAAAGGAAGAATTTTAAAAGCTGTTGACAGCCATTCGCAATTCAGAAGGGTTCAAATAACATTTTATAAAATAAAAAATAAGGTAGGTAACTTTGTTTTTATTTACTAGCAATTCGTTTCTAAATGAATAGTAAAATTTAATAATTATTCCATTACGCAAATTCTGAAATATAAGTTATACAGTTTCAAAATTTTTTAGTTCTTACTGTGTGCGTTTTTAAACTTCACTCTTTAAGAAGTTTTCCCGTTTAATAAGTCATTTCTTTCCACTCTCTTGAAAAAACTTTTAAGCGGGTTCCACTGTATATATATATATTTATANATAAAACAATTATTTTTAGTATTAAGGAATATTGATGCTGTTGAAACATACTTTCTGTTCTATGGGAATGGAGTGATTTATATTCTGAAAAATGATGTCCAGGGAATCATTTATAAAGTTCTTGCTGCTCACTTTTTTCAAAACTAATCCAAGAATTTTCAACAGCATGTACTAAAAATGAAGAAAAAGGCATTACTGATAGTAACACAAGAAAGACACAACACAAAATATATATTTATATAAAATTAACATGAAATCAAATTGACATTAAAACTAAAATCAGAGAGCATTATTTTTATAATAAGTGTTTGCTACTTAGTGCTACCAGTTTGGTCATCCTCACAAGATCTGCAGCAAGGAACTCATTGCATTGGAAACTCATTGTTTTGCCATGTAAAGAATCCCATTGCTATGTAAAGAATTTAGGTCATATGAAATTTCATTGATTTAAAATAGTTTTGTTACTTTAAATCTTTAGTTAAATTTAATTAAGTTAAATTCATGGTCATTTACAGTTTTGAAATTTAATAAATTGCATTACTATAACAATGAAATTTAAAATAATGTATAATAATTGCGATTATTTGCTTGATTTTAGAATTACACTGCAATGATTTTTTAAAATGAAGTTACTCAGGAAAGCTCTAGTATTTATTTACAATCCTTAAAACTTAGAAAATGTTCTACAAAGCATTAACAAAACTTCTAAAAACTTTGATAAAAAAAAAAAATAAAAAAAAACAGTGTACTACAACCTAGAATTTACTGAATAGTAGCATTTGTCGAATTCCTCTCTTTTTAGTAACATATCTATCAAAAATTAAAATAAATAAATATATAAAGATTAAACTAATAAAAAGAGAAAAGCAAAATTGCATTACAAGAATGACTTGTGATCACTGTTTTATAAATAATAATAAAAAAGTAACAAATGATGTTTTTACAAAAATGTTAGGGATAATATAAGTTTTTTTCAAATCATTCACCAACTAGCACCTGATACACCTACAATAGTTTCAATTAGCATATCAGAACAGTTTAAAAAACATATCTTAATTTATATTTATTAACAGATTAGTTAAATGGATTAGAGTTTTATTGTTTAAAATTATCCTAATGTAAGTTGTAACAAAAGCCTCATTTTATTCCCAGGCAAAACAATGAAACTGTTTATGGATTAACCGTTTAACTGGATCAGAAAACCAATCTCCCTTAAGTTATTCTACATGAAAAAAGTGCATAGCAGGGTTTCTCATGATAAAATAAAAGATATTAATAAGTTTGAAGTTCGCGATAAATGGATGATATCATGACTATTACAACAATTGGATGACGTTTTTATTTCTAGAACAAAATAAAAGTTCTTCAGTTATGCTGCAACAATAAAAGAATGCAGCTCTTGTTTACTACAAATCTATCACACACTTTCATTTTCCTTCATGACAACTTATTATAAAATCAACATTTCCTGGTAACAATGATATCAAAAAGTATTGCACTTGATTTTATTTTAATTTAGCTAAACCTTGTTAAGGTTGGAAATTTGTAGTTCAAACATTCCAGTTGTGGTTATTTCAGCCTTTCAAAAAGTACAGAGCTACAGTCAACAACCTGTGAGTAATAGTGGCCAATTCTGGATACACAATTTATAGTTGTCTATTTATTAAATAATAAAAGAAAACAGGGTATATATGACTATTTCATACATAGAGTTTTATTATTTGAATATTAAATGTGAGAATTTGCTCATAGCAAGCTCGCTATACTGACAATTTCATCTCCTATTAACAACTGTCCAGGGTTGTGGTTTTGGATGTCCTAAACTGGTTTTGGACAGGACACCTGGGTTTTACTGTCTTAAACTGACTAAAAGTGTCGTAAAGTGTTAAAAACCTTGAACCTTGGGTAAAATGGCGAAAGGTAAAAATCCTATATGTGTAACCATTGTACGCATAAATAATTGCATAGAGTAATAAATATTTGATGCTTTGATACAATTTGCTTTAACTTAATAAAAGGAAAATAATATGATAAAATGGGAAAAGATTTTTAACTTTTGAAGCTCCACATTTCATTGAACAACAAAAGTGAATACCTAATCCTTTAACAGGGTTGCCACTCAAATATAGAAAAAAAATTCCCTGTGTTTTCCCTGTACATATTATACACAATATATTAAGGGGAAAAAGCAATTACTGTGCTCTTGTGTGAGCTATATTGGGCTAACTATATTTATTAGTTATAATGGCTGAGTAAACAGCTGAGCATACCTAAATAATGTTATAGCATATGAAATAGTTTAGTAAAACTGAAATATTATGGTTAAATATCCCATAAATTAGATTATGCTAGATTACGCTTTGAGTGGTCACCATTTTTTAAAAGACCGAAACAAGAAACAAAATTCCCTGCATTTTCCCTGTTATTTTATGTGATTTTTAAATTCCCTGTATTTTCCAGGTTTACCCTGTTCTCCCTGTGGAGTGGCAACCCTGTTTAAATATGAATAAATATACTTTTAATACAGATAAATTATGTTTTTGCGAGAGTAATGCTATATTGCGAGAGTAATGCATTATTAAACTGTTTTAATAAAAGAATAACTTGTCTTCAATTTGTTTCTTGTTCAAAAATTAAGCTTTTATTTTTCCCAATATTTCTAAAAAACAGTGACATAATTTGAATAAAATGGTTTTGTACAAAGAGGTTTTGGACAGGATGATTTAAACTGTGGATTAATCCATTTTATCTTAAAACTAGCCAACTCTGCAACTGTCACTATAATAGACTTTTACAGTACTCAAGATTTTGAAACTAGCTGAATTTAGCAAGTTCAGGAGCTGATATGTGTGTCTAGACTATATATGTTGAATTGGAGTGGCTTTTACCATATTTTTGTATAACAATGCATTTTTTCTCCTCATACCTTATCATCAGAATTGCCTTCATATAGATGAAACTGAGATAAGAGTGCCTTTCCAAATGTTAATATCCATTCTTCCTTACCCACTTCATCAAGAGTTTGAATGGCAAAATCTATAACTTGATCTTCCCACACTTTCTGATCCCACTCAAGAGCATCAGATGCTAATTGAAAAAAAAGATCATGAAGTTTAAGGTGTACTCGATTATAGACTTTGAATGGTACAAGAATTTAAAATGACTATATAACACCAAATACCTGTAATACCCTCGTGGCAGAATCACAGCGACACGGCGACTTTGTCGCAGAACGGTACAGAGTTTTTGCAGAAGGATTTTTCTTTTGAAAAGTAAAAGTGATTCTTTTGAAAGTGATTGGGCTGAATAGTCGTATTCCAATAATTCAACCAAAAATCGGGAAATGTTGAATATTCCGCGATGGAATACCAAAATTTTTTTAAATATAAAAACCCATTAATAAATATTCTTTTTGATACATACATAAGTTTAATCGTTATTGAAATACAATCAAAACTAAGTTATATTATTGGTAGGGGGCAAAGGGGAGGAAACTATAGTAGTTATCCACGAGAAACATAATATGAGATATATAAATAAAAAACAGACTAACAACTGTAAAAAAAAAACCAGACTAACAACTTTAAAAAAATAGACTAACAGCGGATTAAAAAAAAAACTAAAAATGTAAAGTTGAAAAAATTATTTTAGAAATTATTTTAAATCTAAGCATCTCAATTTCCCAATTACCGTATTATCAAGAAAAAGTGAAATAAAGAATAAAGTCTAATAGAAGCCTGCTTAAATGCCACACCATAATAAAAACGTCTACAAAACAAAAGTTTTTCTAAAAATGTAAAAAGCTAGATAGAAACTAGAACAAAAACTGTTCTCTATTCTTAAACAAAAAATTTAACTCTAAAAATCTCAATAATTATTTTTTTCAAAAAAACAGCCGTGTGAAAAAATGAAGTCTCAATTTAACTTTTTCACGTGGCTGTTTTTGTTAGAAAAAATTACGTTTAAAGATCGACGTTTATTAGAAACCCTTAAAAAATGCTGCATCATAATAAAACGTTGATAAAAAGAAAATTTAATAAAAAAGCAAAAGAGAAACAAAACAAAAAAATTTTCTAATTTCTTGAAAAAAAATTTTAATGTTGAAAATCACAGTTTTCTGTTACTGGTTAATTGAACAGTAAAAAATATAAAATCTATCAGAAACACTATTAAAATGCTGTCTTAATATAAAAATAAAAACACAGCAAAAATGAAATAAAAAAACCTTTTTTAATTGTTAAAATAAAAAGTGTAGGAAAAAATGACAAAATTGGTTTTCTTAAATGTAATTTAAAAAATCAGCACTATGAAACTTGTGGTTTAGTAATCTAGTTTCAAATCTAGAAATTTCGCTCCTCCATTTATCTTTTAGAACATAACTTTGAAATTCACGTGTAAGTTTTAGAACTTAACAAATATGTGTAAAAACTATTTCAAATAATGTATAGCAAAAAATATGATTTTAGAATATTCTTTATTAAATCTATTCAAATTTAATGAAAAAAAATTTCTCGAAGAATTCTTTTCCAAAAAATACATTGTCGAATAATTGGTCAAACATTTGCCCAACAGAATGTTCGTCAAAAGGGCTAAATATTGAATAGTTAATGATCATTACATCCCTATATTCAAGGTCACAAAACCAAATGATACTCAAACTCAACCTAAAGCATAAATAAGAAAAAGATGAAACAAACAACAAATACATTTATTGTTGGGGACATGCATTAAATAGAACAAAAAATTTCTAAAATTTTGTTCTAGAAATAATGTGTCATAAAAAGGGATAATTTTTACCTTCTAATAACTGAATCAGAAGAGGAATTTTTGAGTCCCACAAAGGCATTAATTTTTTATTAATTGCAGGAACTACTACTTTCATGAACTTGAGTATCTGCATTCCTCTTTCTCGATCTTCAGATGGGTATCCAATCAAAACAAGAAGTCTAGCCAGAAGAATCTGAGAAGATGTTATACCACCTAAAATGACACATTGATTATTTCTTATCTTAAAGGCAATACAACAAAAAATTTACTATTCAAATGTAAACTATACTATTTTGTACTTTTAAATGCTATATATATATATACACAGTGCACTCTCACTATTACGATATCCAACACAAATACAACTCCCTTCATTACGATAATATTTTGTGGTCCCGATGAACTTGTATATAAATTAATGTCATGCTCCTCGCAATATTACGATATTCTATGAAGCAATAAACCTCTGTAAAACTATTTTTTTTCCAAATTTCAACCTTATTTTCTCCATTTATTATTGGTTTTCAATTGTTGTAAAAAATCTTATTTTATCATCTTTTGCTGTTTTTTTCCATCTTTTCTGACAAGAGAAGATTCATTGCTGACCACCCCAAAAAATTCCATTCTTAGAATTGCTTCCCTTATCTCTTAAGAAGTCACAGATGTAACATTCCTATCTGATTTCATTTCCTTCGTGTCAAAACCTGATCATGAGTCATAAATGACCCCAAGCATCACATTAACACCTGAAAGAGAATTTTTTTTCTGTAGAAGGTGGGTGGAGCCCCATTCGCAAACGAAAATCATTTTTGTGCTTTGAACAAAATGCATACTTTGTTGGTTGACTTAACAGTCAGAAAAATGAATAAACAAACAAAAATATCGGATTATTTTCAATAAAAACAGTTTTCAACTATGTTTCCGATCTTATTTTATCTCAATTGTTTTTAATATTTAACCATAATTAACCTATCTGCAAATTAATATATAAATTTGTAATTAATACACATATATAACATTAAAATTAAAAAAAAAATCTTATTGTGTCCTCAAAGTATGTAGGGCCTCGATATAACACCAATATATCCCTCTACAACAATTTTTTTATTTGGTTTCAAAAGTATTGTTGTAGCGAGGTTTTACTGAGTATATATAGCATAAAATATAAATACAAAAAGAAAAACATGAAGAAAATTAAGAAAAACAATAAGTTTTATTTACTGTGCATAAGCTGCAAGTAAATAGAACTCATAAAGTAAGTTCAAAATGTAGAGCAAACATGGATAAAATTACAGAACAATGAAAAAGGGGGGGGG